AAATATAGAAACTATTTCCGATTAATTTTAATAATTTTTAAGTGGTCCTTCATTTATTGGGGGGCACTGTATATACACTTATTACAAATAACCAGACTACTGTTCAAAGTATATAATAGTATTAATAATATATTTCTTTGATAGTCAATTAGTTGTAATAATTGTATTATTGTTTTGTTAATATGATTAGTAATTGATTTGTTTGTTGATAATATAATTGGTTTGTTTTTTAGTAAAATGATTTTGTTTTGATAGTTTGTTGCCAAAAAAGATTTTGTTTATATTGACTAATATATGGTGTTTTGATAGTACAGATTTGTTTAAATAATGAATAATGTTTGATTAGTTGGTTTTGATTAAGGATCCTAACGATTCTCTTCGATTCTGTATTTGATTCTCAAGTTTATATTAAATGTGATAGGTGGGATATACCCCACCACCATTTTCAATAGTGTTTCAAATCTCATGTAATTCTGTTCGATTATATTCAATTCCAATTTTCGGAACCATAGTTTTGATATATTAATAAATTGATAGGAGTAAACTGATTGCAGTTTTTTTTATAAAAATTTATAAAAAAAAGTTTTATGTTTTTTGTGGCATAGAAAATTATGCTGAGCAATAGTAAAAAATAATAATAAATATATTGCTGGTTCTCCAAGTCAATAGTATAAATATTTTTAATATGTGGTTTGGTTTTTTGGTTTGCAATGAAAATTTTTAAGAAAAGAATATAATTATTTAATAAGAAATATATATTTGTAAGAAGTAAAAATAAGAAAAACCCCAAGAAAGATTTATAAAAAAGTAATTGTTATAGGCCTTTTCTTATGCAATCTAAAAAAAAGCAAGAATTTCAAACTTGCTTTTCTTTGACTAGAGGTTTCATTCTGATATACTAGTATACTTCTTTAATTTCTTTGAGGTTCTTATATTAAAGGTAAAGAATATATAAAAGACTTTGAAATATTAAAAGGTAAAAAAATTATTTGTTTTTTTAATTTTGAAAAATAATTACTAAAAAAAAACTTTTTAAGAAAAAATTGTATATAGGAATAAGTTTTTTTTTTCTTTAATTAATATATTGTAACACAGAAAAGAGTGATGTGACTTATGCTGAATTCTAGATTTCTTCATGATGTTGGAAAGAAAAACTGTAGTAGCAAGTATAATGAGTGTGATAAAAACAAGCATAAGCTTGGAAAAAGAGGAAAGAAAGAAGAATCGCGATACAATCACAATAGCTCCACGTGACCGGGTTATGCAAAGATTGAACATGGCACTATATGGCCAATTAATGGGATTATGTAATAGAAGTAGTGTGAAAATCAAATAGCAAATGTTTCGTCATAAGATTTTTTATAGTTTTATTTAATTTATAATTACCATTTTATTATATAATGAGATTGTAAAAATATATAAAAAAAAAGAGAGCATTAAATAAAGAAAGACAAGTTATTATCTCTCGGCCATAATTAATCTGCCTCATTATAAACACTTATTATTATTACGCAAATTTAACTTCCCATTAGCAACAGACTCGCCAATTACCATTACAATTTTTGATAAAGACTGTGAAATCCGACACTTCGTTATCCCCCTCCCCAATATTTTTTTCATTTGTCATTGTTTTATTCTATCACTAATTCACACTATTAGTTGAATTCTAGTTTTTTTTTTTTTGAAACAAATGTTATGTTACCTAATGATAGTAATTCCCAGACCAAAAACCTTTTTTAACAACATTTTCGGCAATCCACAATACAAGAAGTCACGATGGGAGTGAGACCATGAGTATGGACGAATTATTTAACGATCAGAGTGACGATGGGACCCTTACCAATGGGGAAGACACACGAGTAAACCCAAATCAGGTAAATACAATCCTAAGGGAAATTGTAAATACGTTCCGCAAAGCAGAGGTGGAACAGGCCCCGAGGATAGATGAAAGAAAAAACAACTAGATTAGGGTAAGAACCTTCTATGGGGAAGACAATGAGGATCTGTTCGAATGGCTGGAAGCATTTGAACAAGCTGCAAACATTAATAATTGGGCCAATCAATGTAAGATTAGTATTGTCTCGGGATACCTATCCGGCCTGGCTACAGATTGGTATCACAATCAAAGAGATGCTATTATCCATTGGAATGAGCATGGTAATCCAGACAAAAACTTTGTACTCTCATTCCTCCACTACTTTGTCACTCCTGAACGTAAATACCAATGGCAAGTAGAGCTAAATACATTACACCAAAAAGAAGGAGAATGAGTGGACATGTATACTTATAAATTCTGAAGGCTGTTGAAGAAGGTAAACCCTAAGAATGCCCTGCCACAAACATACATGATACAAATGTTTACTGGAAGATTGAAAGAAAAGATTGTGTCTTTTCTGTCCGTAGTTGATCTGAGAAACCTGGAGGAAGCTGTGGCAGGAGCAAAGAAAATCAAAGCAGAAAAGTATTACAGAAAAACAACAGAGAAAAAAATGAAACAAATCCACCTAGAAGACAGCATCGCAGAACTAATCTGACAAATGCAGATGTTGGCTGCCAATTATGCCAAGCTCGTTACGATGATGACAACTCCATCTGGAGCTAGGACTAGAGATAGAACAGATATTCGTGATATAACCTGTTTTAAGTGTGATAATAAGGGTTATTACATAAGAGATTGTGTGATGGAAAGAACTAACCATTGGAACGAGGTACCTATACAAGGAACTAAACAAGAATTAAAAGTCCAATATGTATAATTGATGGAATGCGAGAATGATATCTACCACACTACCAACAGATACCAACCGTATGGTCGAACTTGAGCCGACAGAAAGACTGGTCCGGCATAGGAAGGATGTTTGCGAAACCATACCGCTGATGCAAGAGCGAAAGAGATCCAAAACTCCATGATAGAAGGAAAAGGTAGTAAAAAAAACCAGTAGTAAAAAATGGAGGAGAAACCGATGAAGGCACCAAAAAGGATATCTAGAAAGAAGAAGGCACCATCAAGAATCGAATCAAAATCACTATACAACATTGTCGATGACTTGCTATCCATACATGCGAAGGTAACTCTTGATCAGATGTTACAATATCGAGAACAAAAACAGAACCTGGCGAAAGCCTTGTGGAGACCGACAATCCTGAAAGAAACCATGTATGCTAACGAAAGCAAAAAAAAAACAATGGCTATGAGGTGCCATATTGAGATCAGAGACCAACCTGTTGTGGCAGTAATTAATACTAGCTTGGCGGTTAGTTTCATCACCAAAAGATTGATGGATTGACTGGACCTAAAAATTGATGAAAAATTAACATCAGCAGTAATTCAATTACAGAAATGTGTTCTAGGACATTAGGGAAAATTAATAATATGAAGATTGCCATCCAGGGTGTTGACATTCTGTGCACGTTTCAAGTGATCGACTCTAAAAATAAAACTTTGCTATTGGGGAACGACTGATTTGAGAAAATATGAGCTCGCATTTGTTATAATGAATAACAGATGATCTTGCACTACCGGAACAAGGTCATAAAGACATCCATCTACATCACCAGTAAAGAGAATGTAAAAAATAATGTAAGTCGACCCACAGACATCGATGATGATTTACTAGATGTGTTAGAATATGAGGAAGAAGAGATAGAGAATGCAGAAGGATACTATACTGAGGATACAACCGGGGAAGAATTAGCGAACGTTAGAAGGGAAGACTCGATAAGCCCTGCTGCATACCTAGCCCAAGTGGAAGAATTACCCATCACACCTGAGAAATCAAAAGAAATCACCATTGACGAAGGGATTTGACAAATTGAGATTGATGAAGAATTAGGACAGGAAGAGTGAGGTAGGATACAAAAATTGTTGCTAAACCAAAAAGAGATATTCACTCAAACAATGGAAGAGTTGGGACAAACAAGTAAGATTCACCACTCGATCGATACCGGTGATAAGGCTTGATTAAACGACCCATATTCCGAGTAGCTCCTAGTATTAAAGAGTTTATCCAAAATAAAATAACGCATCTGCTATACAAGGGACTAATTCAAGAATCTCAAAGCCTGTAGGCTTCCCCGATAGTGGTAATATCTAAGAAAGCTAGGAAATTACGATTATGCGTCAACTATTGGAAATTAAACATGGTGACCAAGAAAGATGCTTATCCTCTGCCCTGCATTGACAATCTGTTGGAGCTATTTGCCAAGGCAAACTGGTTTACTATATTGAACCTAATGAGTGGATACTGGCAAATAGCAATAGAAGAAAGGGACAGAAAAAAAATGGCATTCATTACTACATTTAGAATGTATGAATTAAAAGTAATACTATTCAGATTGTGCAATGCTCCAGCTATGTTCCAACGCTTGATAAATAAGATGCTCTTCGAGTATTTAGGGAAGTCGGCTGTCGTATACTTGGATAACATTATAGTTTTCTTTAAGACATTCCAGAAACATTTAACACACGTGGAAGAAATATTCCGGGAACTAGAGATGGCTAGATTGAAACTTGGAAAAAAGCACTTTTTTTCATTCTAATCTATATTTTCTAGGGCATGTGATCGGGAGGAAAGGGATCTGTCCGGACAACGCGAAAGTTGAAAAAATTAAAAACTTTCCGATATCCAGAACCCTAAAACAGCTATGGCGATTCATTGGGTTGGCCTTATACTATTGCCACTTCATCCAGGAGTTCGCGACAATAGCCCGACCACTGCATCACCTCTTAAGGAAGCATGTGAAGTTTAAATGGGGAAGAGAACAGAATCAAGCATTTGAAACCCTGAAAAATTATCTTGTAACTGCCCCAATACTATGATACTCCGACTTCACAAAAAAGTTCTATGTCTATATAAATGCTTTCAGCAATGGACTCGGTACAGTGTTAGCACAAAAGGATGACACGGGGAAAAAATACGTTGTGTCGTATATGAGCCAGCAACTAAAATGACACAAAAAGAACTACGTGGCAACCAAATTGGAATGCTTGGCAGTTTTGTGGATAGTAGAGCATTTCTATCACTACTACGGCCTGAACCCATTTGTAGTTATCACCGACCACATGGCATTACAGTGGCTTAAAACATCCAAACTTATGGAATGTCAAGCTAGATGGATGTTCTGCCTACAACTATTTAACTTCACAATACAACATAGAAGTGAAAAAATCCATAGAAATGCCGATGCGTTATCCTGCCTCTAAGAACCCAATAGAACCTATGGAAAAAAAATCAAGAATCGATCACTCAGAGCAAGAAGACTTACCGATTTGAAGAAATGCCAAACCAAGCCATTGTACTATGAAACATCTAAAAAAATCCAAGAAACAGAATCCAGTTCAGGTTCTGATATCCTGGCAAGAAAAGCTAACATAAAGTTTTTCGTAATCTCCGAAATATTTGTGGCCATCAAAAAAAAAAAATTTTTGAAATTGACAAAACACACTATAACTACTTGAGAATGTACCGGCAAACCCAAAAGCTATCAACTGCCATGAACATGACCGATAAACAGAAATTACAAAAGAAAAGTGAATTTTACACATATAGGAATGGCATCCTATACAAAAAGAACTGACAAATGAAGGGTCATCTACTACATGTAGTGTAAAAATGTGAGGTTGAACCAATTCTCTTTTTGATACACCAACATTCGACAGGTGCACATTTGGGAAAGGAGGCTGTATTTGAAAAGATCTGCAGAGCTTATTATTGGCTCCAAATGTACAACAATATATGAAAATATGTTGAAAGCTGTGATCAATATGAGTGGCATAGGAAGAAGTGTATATCTGGACTATTACGATCTATCCCTATCACTGCCCCCTTTCATCGAATTGGCATTGATTTCATAGAACCTTTATCATGAATCCCAAGACTCAATTGATATATTCTAATGGCTGTGAACTATATGACCAAATGGCCAAAGTCGAAAGCAGTAAAAAGGACTGATGCCATGACCGTTACGGAATTCTTATATGAAGAAATTGTGTGCAGACATGATTGCCCCCAGTACATTGTCTCTGATTGAGGCACACACTTCCAGAATTACATAATATGGAAGTTATTAGAAAATTTAAAATAAAACATCATCTAATAATATCTTACCACCTTCAAACAAACAGGTTGACCGAATAATTTAATCATACCCTATATGAAGTGATAGCTAAGTTAGTGAAACATACAACTGAATGGGACCTGCTTATACCTTTTATTCTTTTTGCTTATAGGATGGCCAAAAATGCTACAACTCAAGTATCTCCATTTTATCTAGTCTATGGAAGGAAAACACAACAACTATTTCACTCAAGCACTTCCAATGACCTACTAGAGAGTACAATTCTATAGCAAACTTTTGAATTGATTTAACAGCTTCCAGAGGCCTGCCACACCACCATTTGCAACAATACACAAGCTCAAGAATGACAAAAAGCCTATCATGATAAACAACAAAAAAAATCCCAGAAATATAATATAGGAGACAAAGTGCTGATATATTGGGCTGCTTTGGAATATTTCTGCAATAACAAGTTCAACCTCTAATGGCGTGGGCCGTTCTACATTTACGATTATGTGACCCGCGATGTATACCAACTTCGCACAATAGATGGAAAAGTATTTGCCACCCCAATTAATATCCAAATACTAAAAAAATATTACAAAAGAGACACAGATGCGTAATAAGTATAATGCATAGTATGCATTATATAAGTATGAAAAAAATTGTAACATGGAAAAGAATGATGCGACTTATGCTGAATTCTAGATTTCTTCATGATGTTGGGAAGAAAGACTGCAGTAGCAAGTACAATGAGTGTAATAGAAACAAGCACAAGCTTGAAAAAAGGGGAAAAAAAGAATAATCGCAACACAATCACAATAGCTCCATGTGATTGGATTATGCGAGGATCAAACATGGCACTATAAGACCAATTAATGGGATTATGTAATAGAAGTAGTGTAAAAATCAAATAACAAATATTTTGTCATAAGATTTTTCATAGTTTTACTTAATTTGTAATTATTATTTTTATTATATAATGAAATTATAAAAATGTATAAAAGAAAAAAGAGCATTAAATAAAGAAAGACAAGTTATTATCTCTTGGCCATAATCAATTCTGCCTCACCATAAACACTTACTATCATTATGCAATTTAACTTCCTATTAGCAACAGATTTGCCGATCACTGTTACAATATATATATATATATATTTTTTAATAGGTAAACTTCATTTCTTTATTTGATTTGTATATTAAAAGTATATATCGTAAAAGAAACAACATCTTTCATTTGTAAATACAGTGAGTTTGATACTAGCTTGCCTACAGAAACCATATGACTAATATTGAAAATAAAATTTAAAACAATATATCTTGTCAGATAGTACCGAGCAGCTATGCTTACCTACTCAGTGTTGGGAGAAATAAGAATGGAATAACTTTGGATTAGATTAGTAATGCACTTAAAAAAGTTAAAATTGCTTTGAATATAGACATCTGTGACCAAGGTAGATAGGTCAATTGTTGTTGTTATTGGCTCTTGTATAAATAGAAATTTTTGTGGATTTGATTTGGAAGTTGCTTGATTGTCTTTGATTATGTCACTGGATAATTTGTCTTTCCATTTTATATCATTTAATAGGGAGTTGTTGGCTGTAACACATTGTGGTTTCCATATGGTGTTATATAATTGCATTAGAGCTTTAATCAATGTTTGTACCCACTTGTTATAGTCTAATATTAAGAAGATATCATCAGTAATGCCACATGCTAGCTTTACAACCTGCTATATATAGTTTATCAGTTTTGAGTTACTATTGGAGTAAAAAATAAGATTAGTTTGTTTGATAATTTGATTAGCTTCTTCTGAAGCTA